CAGGAAAGTGTGGTATCCCAGGGATGACAGATGTGTGTATCCCAGGGATGACAGGAAGTGTGTATCCCAGGAAGACAGGGAAGTGTGGTATCCCAGGGAAGACAGGGTTGTGTGGTATCCCGGAGAAGACCAGGAAGTGTGGTTTATCCAGGGATGGACAGGAAAGTGTAGTATTCAAGGGATGACAGGGAAGAGTGTGTGTATTCCAGGGAGACAGGAAGAGTGGTATCCGGGAAGACAGGAAGTGTGGTATCCCAGGGATGACAGGAAGTGTGGTATCCCAGGGAAGACAGGATGTGTGGGATCCCAGGGAAGACAGGAAGTGTGGTAATCCCAGGTGATGACAGTGAAGTGTGGTTTCCCAGGAAGACAGGAATGTGGCATCCCAGGGAAGACAGGAAGGAAAGTGTGTGTGGTATCCCAGGGAAGACAGGAGTGTGGTATCCCGGTATGACAGGAAGTGTGGTATCCCAGGAGACAGGAAGTTTGGGTATTCCAAGGGAAGACAGGAAGAGTGGTTATCCCGGGAAGACAGGAAGATTGTGGTATACAGAAGACAAGAAGTGTGGTATCCCAGGGAGGACAGGAAGTTGTGGTATCCAAGGGAGACAGGAAGTTGGTATCCCAGGGAAGACAGGAAAGTGTGGTATCCCAGGGATGACAGGAAGTGTGTGGTTTTCCCAGGGAAGACAGTGAAGTGTGGTTATTTCCCGGGGATGACAGGAAAGTGTGGTATCCCACCCCCCGCCCCCCCCCCGAATACAGGAGTGTGGTATTCCAGGGAGCACAGGAAGTGTGTTATCCCAGGGAAAAGTACAGGAAGTGTGGTTCAAGGGAAGACAAGAAGTGTGGTCCCCAGGGAAGACAGGAAGTGTTGGTAATCCCAGGGAAGACAGGGAAGTGTGGTTATCCCAGGGAAGACAGGAAGTGTGGTATCCCAGGGAGACAGGAAAGTGTGGGTATCCCAGGGAAAGAAGACAGAAGTGTGGCGATCCCAGGGAAGGACCAGGAAGTGTGGTATCCCAGGGAACAGGAAGTGTGGTTATCCCAGGAAGACAGGAAGTGTTGGTATCCCAGGGGAAGATAGGAAGTGTGGTTATCCCAGGGAAAAGACAGGCAAGTGTGGCTATATCCCATTGAAGACAGGATAAGTGTGGTATCCCAGGGAAGACGGAAGTGTGGTATCCCAGGGAAAAAGTACAAAAAGTGTGGTATCCCAGGCAAGACAGGAACAGTGTGGTTTCTAAGAGACAGGAAGAGTGGTATCCCGGAAGACAGGAAGTGTGGTATCCCAGGGAAGACAGGAAGTGTGGTATCCCAGGGAAGACAGGAAGTGTGGTATACCAGGGAAACAGGAAGTGTAGTATCCCAGGGATGACAGGAAGTGTGGTATGCCAGGGAAGACAGGAAGTGTGGTATCCAAGGGAAGAATAGGAAGTGTCGGTTTTCAGGGGAAGACAGGAAGTGTGGTATCCCAGGGAGTAGAAGACAGGAAGTGTGGTATCCCAGGGATGACAGGAAGTGTGGTATCCCAAAGAAGACAGGAAGTGTGGTATCCTAGGGAAGACAGGAAGTGTGGTATCCCAGGGAAGACAGGAAGTGTTGTATCCCAGGGATGACAGGAAGTGTGGTATCCCAGGGAAGACAGGAAGTGTGGTATCCCAGGGATGACAGGAAGTTTGGTATCCCAGGGATGACAGGAAGTGGTGGTATCCAGGGAAGACAGGAAGTGTGGTTAGCACCAGGGAATGACAGGAAGTGTGGAATCCCAGGAAGACAGGAAGTGTGGTATCCCAGGGAGGACAGGAAGTTGTTGGTATCCCAGGGAAGAGAAGGAGTGTGGGTATCACAGGGATGAAGGAAGTGTGGTATCCCAGGAAGACAGGCAGACAGGAAGTTGTGGTATCCCAGGGAAGACAGGAAGTGGTGGGTATCCCAAGGGAAGAATGGAAGTGTTGTTTCCCATGGAAGACGGAAAGTGTGGTAACCAGGGGGAGACAGGAAGTGTGGTATCCCAGGAAGAAGGAAGTGTGGTATCCAGGGAAGACAGGAAGTGTGGTAATCCCAGGGATTACAGGGAAGAAGATGTGGTATCCCAGGGACGACAGGAAGAGTGTTGGTATCCCAGGGAAGAAAATGAAGTGTGGTATCCCAGGAAGACAGGAAGTGTGGTATCTTCAGGAAGACAGGAAGTGTGGTTTCCCAGGGAAGACAGGAAGTGTGGTTTCCCAGGGAAAGACAGGGGAAGATGGGTATCCCAGGGATCACAGGAAGTGTGGTATCCCAGGGGAAGGACGGAGTGTGGCATCCAAGGGATCACAGGAAGTGTGGGTTATCCCAGGGAAGACAGAAGTGTGGTATCCCAGGGAAAGGACAGGAAGTGTGGTATTCCTAGGATGACAGGATAGTGTTGTAATCCCAAACAAGACAGGATGTGTGGTATCCGTGGAAGACAGGAAGGTGTTATCCTGGAAAAAGACAGGATGTTGTGGTATCAGGGAAGGACAGGAAGTGTGGCTCCTTTATCCCAGGGGAAGACAGGAGTGTGGTTATCCCAGGGAAGACAGAAAGTTGTGGTATACATGGAAAAAAGACTGAAGTGTGGTATTCCAAGGGAAGACAGGAAAGTGTGGTATCCCAGGGAAAAGACAGGAAGTGTGGTATCCCAGGGAAGACAGGAAATGTGGTATCCCAGGGATGACAGGAAGAGTGGTATCCCAAGGATGACAGGAAGTGTGGTATCCCAGGGATGACAGGAAGTGTGGTATCCCAGGGATGACAGGAAGAGTGGTATCCCAGGGACGACAGGAAGTGTGGTATCCCAGGGATGACAGGAAGTGTGGTATCCCAGGGAAGACAGAAAGTGTGGTATCCCAGGGAAGACAGGAAGTGTGGTATCCCAGGGATGACAGGACTAGGTGGTCACCCAGGGATGACAGAAAGTGTGGTATCCCACGGAAGAGAGGAAGTGTGGTATCCCAGGGATGACAGGAAGTGTGGTATCCAAGGGATGACAATAAGAGTGGTATCCCAAGGAAGACAGGAAGTGTGGTATCCCAGGGATGACAGGGGGGAAGGGGAGGGAGGTGGTATCACAAGGATGACAGGAAGTGTGGTTTCCCAGGGATGACAGGAAGTGTGGTATACCAGGGATATCAGGAAGTGTGGAATCCCAGGGATGACAGGAAGTGTGGTATCCCAGGGAAGACAGGAATTGTATTATCCCAGGGAAATCAGGATAGTGGTGGTATCACAGGGAAGACAGGAAGTGGAGGTATCACAGGGATGACAGGAAGTGTGGTATCCCAGGGATGACAGAAAGTGTGGTATCCCACGGAAGACAGGAAGTGTGGTATCCCAGGGATGACAGGAAGTGTGGTATCCCATGGATGACAAGAAAAGTGGTATCCCAGGGAAGACAGGAAGTGTGGTTTCCCAGGGAAATAATAGGGAGTGTGGTTATCCCAAGTATGACAGGAAGTTGTGGGTTATCCCAAGGATGAAGGAAGGTGGTATCCACAGGGATGAAGGAAGTGTGGAATCCAGCGGAACAGAGGAAGTGTTGTATCCCAAGTATGACAGGTTGTGTGGTTATCCCAAGGATGACAGGAGTGTGGTTATATCAGGAGTCAGAAAGTGTTGGTATCCCAAGGCAGACAGAAGTGTGGTATTCCAGGGAGACAGGAAGTGACGTATCACAGGGATGACATGAAGTGTGTTATCCCAGGGATGACAGGAAGTGTGGTATCCCAGGGATGACAGGAAGTGTGGTATTACAGGGATGAGAGGAAGTGTGGTATCCAAGGGAGAAGAAGGAAGTGTGGTATCCCAGGGATGACAGGAAATGTGGTATCCCAGGGATGACAGGAAGTGTGGTATCCCAGGGAACAGAGGAAGTGTGGTATCTCAGGGATGACAGGAAATGTGGTATCCCAGGGATGACAGGAAGTGTGGTATCCCAGTGGAAGAAAGGAAGTGTGTTATCCCAGGGAAGACAGGCATGATGTGTGGTATCCAAGGAAAGACAGGAAGTGTGGTATTCCAGGGAAGATCGGAAGTGTGATATCCCAGGGAAGACAGGAAGTGTGATATCCCAGGGAAGACAGATAGAGTGTTATCCCAGGGAAGGCAGGAAGTGTGGTGTCCCAGGGAAGACAGAATTGTGCCATGCGAGGGAAGACAGAAGTGTGCCATCACATGGAAGACAGAAGTGTGCCTTCCCAGGGAAGACAGCAGTGTGATTTCCCAGGGAAGACAGAAGTGTGATGTCCCAGGGAAGACATAAATGTGCCATCCGAGGGAAGACAGAAGTGTGATATCACATGGAAGACAGAAGTGTGCCATCCCAGTGAAGACAGAAGTGTGCCATCCCAGGGAAGAAAGGAAGTGTGCCATCCCAGGGAAGACAGAATTGTGCCATCCCATGGAAGACATAAAGTGTGCCATCCAAGAAAGACAGGAAGTGTGCCATATCAGGAAATCCAGATGTGTACCACCCATAGGAAGGCAGAAGCGTACCATCCCAGGGAAGACAGAAGTGTGCCATCAATGGGAAGACAGAAGTGTGCAATCCCAGGGAAGACAGAAGTGTTCTATCCCTGGGAAGACAGAATTGTGCCATCCCAGGGAAGACATGAAGTGTGCCATCCAAGAAAGACAGGAAGTGTGCCATATCAGGAAATCGAGAAGAGTACCACCCATAGGAAGGCAGAAGCGTGCCATCCCAGGGAAGACAGAAGTGTGATCAATGGGAAGACAGAAGTGTACAATCCCAGGGAAGACAGAAGTGTGCTATCCCTGGGAAGACAGAAGTATGCTATCCCAGAAAAGACAGAAGTGTGCCTTCCCAAGAAAGAGAGAAGTGTGCCATCCCAGAGAAGACAGAAGTGTACCATCCCAGGGAAGACAGAAGTGTGCCATCCCAGGTATGACAGAAGTGTACCATCTCAGGGAAGACAGAAGTGTGCATTTCCATTGAAGACAAAAGTGTGCCAACCCAGGGAATACAGAAGTGTGCCATCCCTGTGAAGACAGAAGTGTGCCAGACCCAGGGAAAACAGAAGTGTGAAATCACAGAGAAGTCAGAAGTGTGCCATCCCAGTGGAGGCAGAAGTGAGCCATACCAGGGAAGACAGAAGCGAGAAATCAGAGGGAAGACAGAATTGTACTGTCCCAGGGAAGACAGGAAATGAGCCATCCCAGGGAAAGGGAAGTGTGCCATCCCTGAAAAGACAGAAGTGTGCCATGTCAGGGAGGACAGAATTGTGCCATCCATGGGAAGACAGAAGTATGCCGTCCCAAGGAAGACAGAACTGTGCAATCCCAGGGAAGACAGAAGTGTGCCATTCCTAGGAAGACAGAAGTGTGCCATCCCAGGGAAGACAGAAGTGTGCCATCCCTTGGAAGACAGAAGAGTGCCATCCCAGGGAAGACAGGAAGTGTGCCATCCCAGTGAAGTCAGGAAGTGTGCCATCCCAGGGAAGGCAGAAGTGTGCAATCCCTGGGTAGACAAAAGTGTGCCATCCAATGGGAGACAGAAGAGCGCCACCCATGTGAAGACAAAAGTGTGCCATCCCAGGAAAGACAGAAGTGTGCCATCCCAGTGAAGACAGGAAGAGTGCCATTACAGTAAAGACAGGAAGTGTGCCATCCTAATTAATCGATAAGAGTACCATATATAGGAAGACAGAAGCGTGCCATCCCAGGGAAGACAGAAGTGTGCCATCACTGGAAAGACAGAAGTGTGCCACCCAAGGAAGGCAGAAGTGTGCCACCCCAGGGGAGACAAAAGTTTGCCATCATTGGGAAGACAGAAGTGTGCCATCCCAGGGGAGACAGAAGGGTGCCATCCCATGGAAGACAGAAGTGTGCCATCCCAGGGAAGACAGAAGTGTGCCATCAATTGAAAGACAGAAGTGTGCCATCACCGGTAAGTCAAAAGCGTGCCATCCCAGAGAAGGCAGAAGTGTGCCATCAAAGGGAACATAGAAATGTGCCATCCCAAAGACGACAGAAGTATGCCATCCCAGGGAAGACAGATGTGTGCCATCCCAGGGAAAACAGAAGTGTGCCATCCCAGGGAAGAAAGACGTGTGCCATGCCAGGGAAGACAGGAAGTGTGCTGTCCCAGGGAAGACAGGAAGTTTGATATAAAAGGGAAGATAGGAGTGTGCCATCCCAGGAGAGACAAAAGTGCGCCATACTGGGAAGATAGAAGTGTGCCATCCCAGGGGAGACAGAAGTGTGCCATTACAGGGACGACAGAAGTGTGATATCCCAGAGAAGACTGAAGTGTGCTATCCGTGGAAAGACAGGATGTGCCACCCTTTGGAAGACAAAAGCGTACCATCCCTTAAAGGCAGAAGGTGCCAAAAAGGGAAAAAAAGTGCCACCCCAAGGGACCCAGAAGTGGCCTCCTGGGGGAAGACAGAAGGGGCCCATCCCGGGGAAGACAGAAGTGTGCCATCTTAGGGAAGACAAAATGTGCATCCCAGTGGAGACAAAAGTGTGCCATCTCTTGGGAAGACAGAAGTGTCAACCCTGAGACAGAAGTGTGCCATCCCAGGAAAGAAGAAGTGTGCCATCCTGGGGAAGACAGAAGTGTGCCTCCCGGGGAAGACAAAAGCGTCCATCCCAGGGAAGGCAGAAGGCGAGATCAAAGGGAAGACAGAATGTCCTCTAAAGGACGACAAAAAGTGTGTCTTTTTTTCCCGGGGGAAACAGAAGTGTGCCATCCCACAGAAGACAAAAGGTGCATCCCGGGGAAATCAAAAGTGTGCCACCCCCGGGAAGACGGGAATTTTGTGTTTCGGAAGACGGGAATGTCCATCCCGGGGAAGGGAAGTGTCCACCTGAAAAAAAAAAAGTGTTTTTCCCTGAAAAGACAGAAGTGTGCACCCCCTGGGAAGATGAAGTGTGCCACCCAAGGGGAGACAGATATGTCCTTCCCGGAAAACAGAAGATGCCACCCCTGTAAAGGGAGAAGTGACCATCCCCGGAAAGCAAAGTGTGCATCCCAGAGAATAAAAAAGAATCCATCCCGGAAAGGAGAATGTGCCATACCAGGGAAGACAGAAGTGTGCAATCTTTTTGAAAGACAGAAGGTGACATCCCACTAAGACACAGTATTCATCCCCTTGAAAACAAAATGTGCCTTTTTGGGGAAGACAGAAGTGTGCCATCCCGGGGAAAGTCGGGATTTTGCCTTTCCCGGGAAAAATCAGGAAGTGGCACCCCGGGGAAACGGAATGGCCATCCTAAAAGACGAAGTGTGCCATCCCGGGAAGGCAGAATTGTGCACCCCTTGGAAGACAAAAATGTCCGTCCCGGGGAAAAGAAGTAAGTGCCATTCCTGGGAAGACAGAAGTGTGCCATTCCAGGGAGACAATGTGTCCCATCCCAGGGAAAAGACATAAGTGTCCATCCCGGGGAAGACAAAAGTGTGTCTCCCCTTGAAGAAAGAAGGTCCCATCCCTGGGGAAGACAGAAGTTTGCCACCCGGGGAAGAAAAAAGTGTCCATCAGGGGGAAGACAAAGTGTGCATCCCAGGGAAGACAGGAAATGTCCATCCCAGGTAAGAGAGGTGTCCATCCCTGAAAAGACAAAGTGGCCATTCAGGGAGGACAGCAGTGTGCCATCCCTGAAAGCAGAAATGCGAAATTTCCCAAAAACAGGTGTGCCATCCCAGGGGAGACAGAATAGCGCCACCCAAGGGAATACAGAAGTGTGCCCCCCGGGAAGTCAAATTTTGCCTCCCGGAACACAGAAAAGTGCCATCCCTTAAAGAAGGAAGAGCCACCCGGGAAACGAAGTGTACCTTCCAAGGAAGACAAAGCGTGCCATTAAAGGGGAAAAGAGGAGCATCCCCCTGGGAAGACGAAGTGTGGCCATCCCAGAAAGACCGAAGCGTGCCATCCAGGGAAGACGGAAAAAAGTGCATCCCCTGAAAGAAGGAAGTATGCCATCCCGGGGAATACAGAAGTAAACCCTTCCAAGGAAGACAAAGCTGCCATTCGGGAAACAGAAGTGGCCCCCAGGGGAACAAAAGTGTCCCATCCCGGGAAACAGAAGTGTGATATCACATGGAAGACAAAATGTGCCAAAACGGGGGAAGACAGAATGTGCTCCCGGGAAACAGAAGTGGCCATCCCGGGGAAGACAAGAAGTGTCCCATCAAGTGAAACAGAAGTGTGCCATCCCAGGAAGACAGGAAGTGTGCCACATAGAAAGCCCGGAAGTTGCCAATCAGAGAACCCAAAGTGTACCACCCATAGGAAGAGAGAAGCTGCCATCCCATGGAAGAAGAAGTGTGCCAAACCCTAGGAAAAGAGAAGTGTGCCAAACCCGGGGAAGACAGAAGTGTGTATCCCGGGAAAAGACACAAGTTGCAACCCATGGAATACAAATGTGTCCACCCCGGGGAAGACAGAAGTGTTGCCACCCTTTAAGACGGAAGTGGCCATCCCGGAAGACAGAAGTTGATATCACAAGGAAATCAGAAGTGTGCCATCCCAGGGGAGGTGAAGTGGCAATCCCAGGAAGTTAGAACAAACCATCCCGGGGGAAACAGAACTGTGCCATCCTGTAAGACAGAAGGGTGCCTTCCCAGGGTGACAGAAGTGTTCCACCCAGGAAGCAAAAGTGTGGCCTTTACGGGGAAGACAGAAGTGTGACACACAGGAAAAAGGAAGTGTGCTGCCCAGAAAGGCAGGAAATGTGTCCCCCCCAGGTGAAGAGAAGTTGACTCCCGAAAAAGACAGAATGTGCCACTCAGGGGGGAAGAATTGTGCCATCCCGGGAAAAACAGAAGAGTGCCCTCACAAGAAGACAGAATGTGCCTTTCCGGGGGAAGACAGAAGTGAGCCATCCCTTTGGGAACACAGAAGATCCACCCCAGGGAAAAAGGGAGTGTCCCAACCCCCAGTGAAGACGGGAAAGTGTGCTTCCCGGGAAAGGCAAATGTGCAACCCGGAAAAAAAAGTGTCCACCCAAAGGGAGACGAAGAGACCACCCATGTAAAGCAAAAGGGGCTACCCAAGAAGACTGGAAAGCTGCCATCCCAGGAAAGACGAAGTGTGCCATCCCAGGGAAGCAGAAAGATTTGCATCCCAGTAAAGACCGGAAGATCCCACCCAGGGAATACATAAGTGTCCCAATATGGGAAAACAGAACTGCCTCCAGGGAAGACAGAAGTGGCCATCACTGGGAAGACGGGGAATGTGACTTCCGGGGAAGGCAAATTTGGCAAACCCTGGGAAGCAAAATGTGCCACCCAAAGGGGGGCAAAAGAGCCACCATGTAAGACAAAAGGTGCATCCCAGAAAAATGGAAGACTGCCACCCCAGGAAAGACAGAAGTGTCCCCACCCCGGGGAGACAGAAAGAGTCCCCATCCCAGTAAAGAGGAAGAGTGCCATCCCGGGGAAATACATAAGTGTACCATAAAGGAAGACAGAAGTGTGCCACCCCAAGGAAGACAGAAGTGGCCCCTTCCCAGAGGAGGCAAAAGTGGCCCCCTGTAAAGACAGAAGTGTGCTATCCCCGGTGAGACAGAAGGTGCCACCCATGGAACCAAAGGACCCAACCAAAGGAAGATTGTCCCATGCCTGGAAAGACAGAAGTGTCCACCCGGGAAGACAAAACGTGCTATCCCAGGGAAGCGAAGGTGTTATCAAAAGGAAGATAAAAAGTTCCATCCCAAAGAACGACAAAAGTGTGCCACTCGGGGAGAAAAAAGTGAACCATCCCAGGGAAAACAAAGTGTGCCATCCGGGGGAAGCAGAAGTGTGCCCCCCAGGGAAGAAGAAGTTCCCCGCGGGCG